GCTGCTGAAGTGTCCAGGCCTGTTGATCAGGAAGGTGGCGGGGGAGGCGGTGGGGGGGACCGAGTGCCGGAGCTGGCGATCGGAGGGGGCAAGGGCGGCAGCCGGCGATTGCAGGGGCCTGGGCAGGGGCAGAAGCCAGAGATCGCAGGGCCTGGGCCGGGGTGGAGCTGGCAAAGCACGGGTCTGGGGGGTCCCCTGCCCAGGCCTGCAGTCTTGGCCAGAGGCTGCAGGCCTGGGCAGGGGCAGAGCCGGCGATTGCAGGGGCCTGGGCAGGGGCGGAGCCAGCATTCTCAGGGGCCTAGGCAGGGGAGGAGCCAGTGATTGCAGAGGCCTAGGGGTCCCCTGCCCAGTCCTGCAGACTCAGGCCTGGGCAGGGGCAGAGCCGGCGATCAGAGGGGCCTGGGCAGGGTTGGAGCCGGGATCAGAGGGGCTTGGGGGTCCCCTGCCCAGCAATCGTAGTGAACCTTTTCTGACCGCTCATTGGCTAAGCTCCCTGTATGCCACTGGTAATATTCTTAGTAACTTGGGTAATAAGAATCCAAAAAGGTGATCTAGGGTTTTTCACCACACTCCTGGAGAAAAACACGAAGGTCCACTGCTGGAGGGCTAAGAAATGTCATATCCTGCCCTAGCTGGTTTGGTTCAGTGGATAATGCCTTGGCCTTCCAACTGCAGGGTCTGGGTTCAATTCTGACCAAGAGCATGTACCTAGGTTGCAGGCTCCTCCCTGGCCCGGGCCCAGGTCTGGGCTCATGCAGGAGGCAACCAATCAAAGTGTTCCTCTCACTTTGATGTTTCTCTCTGTCTTTCCCTTTCTCTTCCACATTCTCTAAAAATCAATGGAAACATATCCTCAGATGAGGATAAAAAAAAAATAAAGAAAGAAATGTCATATCCTATGAAAGACACATCTTGAAAATGCCTAAAGAAAGTTATCATTTTTTCATGGTGAAGGGACGAGTCCGTGTTGATGAAAACACCTTGGTGGCTGCGGTGACTGGCAGTGGCTGCAGCAGCGGGGTGATGGGGCTGGTGCCTTCCCCTGATCAGCCCGGTCGCCTCCCACAAAGGGAGGCCAGACTGCGGCTTAGGCCCTATCCCCAAGGGGGGCAGGGAGCAGGCCTAAGCCGTCAGTAGGACATCCCCTGAGGGCTCCCAGTATGTGAGAGGGGGCAGGCTGGGCTGAGCCCCCCTGCCCAGTGCACAAATTTTGTGCACCAGGCCCCTAGTATTTAATAGTTAAGTAAAAATAGTATGAGGAACAATTGTTGCACTTAATGAGGAGGCTGAGTAGAGAAAGACAAGTGCCATATGATTTCATTTATATGTGGAATCTAATGAACAAAATAAACTAACAAACAGCATGAAAACCAGACTCATGGATATAGAGAAGAAACTGACATCTGTCATAGGGGAGGGGTTTCAGGCCTAGATGAGAAGGATGAAGGGATTAAGCAATGGGAAAAAAAAAGACTCATGACACAGACAACAGTATGGTGACTGCCAGAGGGGAGCAGGGGTGTGAGGGGAGGTAGAAGAAGGTAAGGGGGGATAACTGATGATGGAAGGAGACTTGAGGTGATAAACACACAGTACAATATACAGATGGTGCATTGTAGAGTTGAATACCTGAAACGTGTATAATTTTATTAATCAATGTCACCTTAATAAATTCAATAAATAAATAGGCTGGTTACGAAGATATGATAGCCAGCAATTTACTATATGTAAGCAAAGTACATTAGAAAATATATAGAATAAAGTTTCTATTTATAGTAGCAAAATAAAAGTTATAAACACCAAGAAATAAACTTTACAAGAAAACTGCATGATCCACATGAGAATAAAAGAGATTTGAAAAAATGGCAACACATTGTGGTATTGAATAGGATGACAATATTACACAAATTTTAGTTAGATTAACTATACATTCACTAAAATTGTCAAAAATTGTTTTCTAATCTACGAAGTTCTTCCTAATGTTTAAATTAAGTATAAGAATAGCCAATAGCCCTAACCGGTTTGGCTCAGTGAATAGAGCGTCGGCCTGGGGACTGAAAGGTCCCAGGTTCTATTCCGGTCAA